ATTTCTGGGGCTAATCCCTTTTATTTGGGGTATTCCTGGGGCTAATGCCATTTTTTGAGGGTGTGTTTTTGGTGCTAATCCCATTTTGAGGGTGTGTTTTTGGTGCTAATCCCATTTTTGGGGTGGGGTTTTAGGTGCTAATCCCATTTTATTGGGTTATTCCTGGGGCTAATCCCTTTTAATTGGGTATTTTTGGTGCTAATCCCCTTTTTTTGCGCTATTTTCCGCTGCTAATGCCCTTCCATTTGGGGTATTATTGGGGCTAATCCTATTTTTGGGAGGTGTCTTGGTGCTAATCCCATTTTGGGGAGGTGTCTTGGTGCTAATCCCATTTTGGGGAGTGTTTTTGGGGCTAATCCCATTTTCTGGGGGGTGTTTTTGGTGCTAATCCCTTTTATTTGGGGTATTCCTAGGGCTAATGCCATTTTTTGAGGGCGTGTTTTTGGTGCTAATCCCATTTTTGGGGTGGGGTTTTAGGTGCTAATCCCATTTTCTTGGGTTATTCCTGGGGCTAATCCCTTTTAATTGGGTATTTTTGGTGCTAATCCCCTTTTTTGCGCTATTTTCCACTGCTACTGCCCTTCCATTTGGGGTATTGTTGGGGCTAATCCCATTTTTGGGGGGGTGTTTTGGTGCTAATCCCATTTTGGGGGCTGGTTTTGATGCCACTCCCATTTTAATCGCCTATTAATTGGGTATTTATGGTGCTAATCCCCTTTTTTGCGCTATTTTCCACTCCTAATGCCCTTCCCTTTGGGGTATTATTGGGGCTGATCCCATTTTTGGGGGGTGTTTTGGGGCTGATCCCATTTTTGGGAGGTGTTTTGGTGCTAGTCCCATTTTTGGGGGCTGTTTTTGATGTCACTCCCATTCTTTGGGGGGTGTTTTTGATGTCAATCCCGTTTTTGGGGGGGTGTTTTTGGTGCTAATACCATTTTATTGGGGTATTCCTGGGGCTAATCCCTTTTATTTGGGGTATTTTTGGTGCTAATCCCATGTTTAAGGGGTGGTTTTGGTGCTAATCCCATTTTTGGGGAGTGTTTTTGATGTTAATCCCATTTTATTGCTGTATTATTAGGGATAATCCCTTTCATTTGCACTTTTTTCTGGTGCTAATCCCATTTTTATTGGGGTATTATTTGGGCTGTTCCCCATTTCTGGGCTATTTTTGGGTGCCAATCCCCTTGTATTGGGCTATTTTTGGGTGCCAATCCCCTTGTATTGGGCTGTTTTTGGTGCTAATCCCTTCTATTGGGTTTTTCTTGGTGCCGATCCCCTTTTTGGGGCTATTTTTGGGTGCTAATCCTCTTTTACGG